ACCACTGGACTAAGACTCCAGGAGATCAGGGTTCAAATCTCCACATGGCCACATAAACCCATTGCAGTCATGCTCTCACTACCTCAACGGAATATAGTTGCAACCCATCTCTGAAAAAATCTTGCCAAGAAAACCCTAAGATAGGGTTTCCTCAAGTCAAGATTCACTTGAAGGCACAGAACAAAAAAATCCTATGGCTAAAAGTTATATGCAAAAAATACAAGAAAATAACATACATGAACAATGGTTGAAGAACAGAGAATGAGCAATGGGAATGTTCCTTAAAACAGTGGGGCATGGATTTTGCTAGGTTTTACAGTAAACCTGTACATTAGAGACACTTGGTTGTTATGTTCCCATCAACTGACATTGCACATTGCATGGAATAGCACCATTACTGTTTCTGAAAATGTAGCCAACCAACATACCAGACTCTGGTCTCAATAATAAAAGAACAAAGTATATGCAATGACGATCTACTGCCAAATTACCATGATGAGGGAAATCTTTAATGACTTTGGTAAAGGTGAATTATGTCTCTGTAATGGTTCCAAATATTTTCAAAGTTGTGAAGTCGTAGGCTTTCATGGCTGGCATCCAAAAAAACTATTTTCAAAGTTCATCAAATGGCGGCTAAAGAGAACCTGCGGGAGACGCTTTATTGAGAGATTCAAATGCCTTTCTGATAAAGTCGATTTAAGGTTCAATTTGCTGATTCTATTATTATAATAAGGTATCATGCTGTGCGATATGGCCTCTGTGCTTTCTGTCTATAAGAGTCAGCACTCAAAGCCCTAATGCAACCTTCCCAAATATGAAGAGTTTCAGATGTGTTGGGCCACAATTCCCATTATTCCCAGTCGTCATGGTCAATGGCATCAGTCGGGGGAAGAATGATCTAGTAGTGGAACAACAGCAGGATTAGGAACGTCTAAAATATATGAAGAGGTTCTTAGAGGAAGCTAGTCACCACAAAGCAAAACATACAGGCTTAGCAATGGATTCTGAGAAGTGGCTTAAACAATGAGAAGAACCAGAAAGAAATACTCAATTAAACCTCAGAAGCTCAGAAGTAAGCCTGTGTGCTTACATCGCCACTGAAAAGACTCCTATGCTGGATTTTCCAGACATCTTCTGTGGACTTGGTACAAGCGACAGAAGGAAACACTTGTCAACTGCAATTAGTTACTTGAAACTGCCAAGACTAGCAAAGAATGAAGGCTTGCAAAGAGAGAATGCAGAAATAATGGCAAGTAGATGTCACAATTATGGCTCAAGGATGGCATTGCTCATGCTTTCCTATAGCTCTAGTGGATTTGGCCCCACTGGTTGGATCTGTCTCTCCTTCCCCTCCAATAATGTGCTAAATCTGATACTAAAGGATAGGATGCTGTCCTGTACTTCATGGCATTATTTATCCATTTATTAAACAAGTTTATAAATCCCTTTCCTGCCCATTAGGAAACAAACCACAAAACTGCAGTGTAAAACCAGGACAAACCAAAACATTATTGAAAAACTGACTCAAAAAGCAATTTAAAAGTCAAAGGCCTGACAAAATAATACCAGTTTAACCACCCACTGGAAACTCAGTATAGATGGACCCAATCTGATTTCTTTTGAGAGGCTGAGTGGCTGCTACAAAAAAAGGTCCTGTTTCACATACTCACTAACCAATTCTATTGTCTTCATATGCAGTCAACAGAGCATGAAATCTTTAGATTAAAAGGCAGAAAAACATACAGTACAAAATGTCTAAATATCAAAACAGCTTAAAAATTCAGTTCTGCATGAAACATAGCAAACATTGTTCTGTCACATGATCAGATTTAAAAACTTAACTGCTTGATCTGTAAACACCTTGTTGGAAACTTTGAGCACGATAGTTAAGACAGACTCAGGGGAGAGCCCTGGGAAGAGTTGAGTAACTGGGAATATTAAGTTTTTTCTAGACCTTCAATAGGGATCAAAATAAGAGAATACACATAAGAGAGATTCAACTTCAATATTGTTACAGGGGCAGCATGAGTTGTTCAAGGAGGCTCTATTTTATATTTCAACTAATAAATTAGAAGGAGGAACCCTGACAAGGAGAAAGCCTTCCTGTCTTATTGAGGGATTATTAGACAATCCAAATGGGGCATTCTTTATCAGGAAGGCATGGTAGACCCAATGAGTGGGGTCAACCAGGTCTATGTGTGTTGTTCCTTGAAGCTCTTGAAAGTCTCTATCATGATGGATCAGTAAAGATTTGGCACTGTTGAAATCCATAGATGACAGGTAGGAGGGGAAAACCCTTCAGAGGTAATTTTAGGCACCACTGCCTTTGTTCAAAGTGATTCAAAGGAATCTAGGATTGTCTTGGACACCAGAGACTTGGGAGGTTCTGTTAGCCACCAGGAAGGACGTGAACTACAGACAGCCCTTCATATCCACAAATGCTGCATCCATGGATTCAACCATCCACAGATTTAAAATAATTTCTCACAAATTCAAAAAGCAAACCTTGATTTTGCCCTTTTATATAAGAGACACCATTTTATTACACCATTGTATATCATGGGATTTGAGCATCCATGGGTTTTGGTATACAAAGGGGGTTTTTTGGAACCAAACCCAGCAGATACCAAGGACCCACTGTATTTAAGGTGGCATGGGACACTGAATAGGGACACAAATGACAATTTCAAATTCCAGGCAGGCTCATATGGGAGGAGGTGATCTTTCAGGTATCCCAGCCCTAAATTATGACACAGCCACTTCCGCACACATTTCTAGATTTAACACATAGATACTTGCAAAGAATGGTTGGGCAGTCAACCCTACAAACTACTGCTCAAAAAGCTATTGCTCATGTCTGATGCAATCAGAATGTTCCATTTTTCTCATCCAGTGGCATGTATATACATGTATGCATATACACACTAAAGAAACTGAGCTGGAGAACCAAAAGCAAAGAAAGACAGGAAATAATCAGAAACTACAATGACTAGCTAGAGACCTTGATGTGTAGACATATGTGGTCTGCAGGCTGTTATGGTGCCACTCTTGTATTTGAATTAATAGAATTTAATTCTACGATTTTCTATGAAACAACAGGGCAGCAAAAACTTCCATCTTGGTCTGTGGAGAAGTCATGCTTTCAGACAGCATTTTGTGTGCTTTTAATATCTCTGTTGCCACACATATCCTCTTGCTCATTTTTCCTTGCTTTGGGGGCACCACGCAAGAGAAATTCAGAAAAGTATAGCTCAGAAAGACATAATTTGATTGCAATAGCTCAGAGGTATAAGGAGACCTGAATCTGATTAGATTACTCATTGGAAAGTGTTACTTGAAGTAAATGAATTCATTTGCACAAGTTCTCTGCAACATTATGCTGATTTTCAACATTCTTTTAAAAAAAGATTCTGGGCACAAGTCTTTCCCAGACATTGTCTCTTCTGGAAAGCAGGAGAGGGTTGGGCTTTCACCAACAGTGTGGAAGGAGCGGCGTTCTTTGCGACTTGCAAAGTCGATAACGCTAGAAGCAAGTCCCGTCCACGCTAAATACGAGATTTTCAAGGAGGTAAACAGGCTGTCCAGCTGCCTAGCTTTGAGCATCACTGGAAAATGGAGCCGGGGGGGAGAATAGCTGACTCTAGGCTTGGCATGCAAGTAGTCCTTAATGAGCTGAATATATTTGGTGTGGAAAATTGGCTTCAAAACAGCCAAGTCTGAAAGTAAGCAGGACCATATGCAAGAGAAAAATGCTATTAGGCTGTTAGCTGTGCAATTAAAAGGGGAAGTGTTGAGCGCAAGCAGTTAAACGGCAGAGCTGAAACCCACAGGCCCATTAGCTGGGGAGCCAGTGTCTGATGATTAGGCTCAACAGAAGGAAGCTGACAAGATCTGCCAATAAAGCTTGCTAAGCTGCTCACAAGGTTGGTGCACCTTGGAAGCTCTGCAAAGCGATTAGTTCCAGGAACAAGGAGGCAGAGGCTAATGATGCAAACTGTTCACCCTGGAAAGGCTCCTTGCACAGATGGGTGCAGCTCTGGACTCCATTGCAGAGCCTTCCCAGTTGGGACAAAACAGTGCCCCGTTCCGAAGAGATGCTTTCAAAATCCTTCCACCTGAACTTTGGCCCAGCACTTCCATAATCACCTAAGGGCACAGATGAACAGTTTGGCCAGCCCTGGTGGTAGTGGTAGTGGTAGTAGTAGTAGTAGTAGTAGTAGTCAGAATCACAGACTCATAGAGTTGGAAGAGACCTCGAGGGCCATCAACCCCAACCCCTTTGGCCATGTAGGAAGAGACATAGAATGACAGAATCCTAAAGTTGGGATCGACTCTAAGGGACATCCAGTCCAATCCCCTGCCATGCAGGAATGCACAATCAAAGAACCCCCCAATAGATGGCCATCCAGCCTCTGTTTAAAAACCTCCAAACAAGCGAACTCCCCTATCCTCCGAGGGAATGTGTTCCACTGTTGAACAGCTCTTACTGTCAAGAGGTTCCTCCTAATGTTGAGGTGGAATCTCTTTTCCTGTAGCTTGAATCCACTGGTCCGGGTCCTATTCTCTGGAACATCAGATAACAAGCTTGCTCCATCCTCAATGAGACATCTCTTCAAATATTTAAACAGGACTATTATATCATCTCTTAATCTTCTCTTCTCCAGGCTAAACATACCCAGCTGCCTGAGTCGCTCATCGTATGGTTTCCAGACCCTTCACCATTTTGGTTGCTCTCCTCTGGATGTGTTCCCACTTGTCAACATCCTTTTTGAATTATGGTGCCCAGAACTGGACGCAGTATTCCAGGTGAGGACTGACCAAAGCAGTATAGAGTGGTACTCTATTGCTGAGTGCCTTCAAGTCATTTCCAAGCTTTGGCAACCCTAAGGTGAACCTATCATGGGGTTTTCTTGGCAATATTAGTTCAGAGGAGGATTGCCATTGCCTTCCCCTGAGGCTGAGACCACGTGTCCTGGCCAAGGTTACCCAGTGGGCTTCTATGGCTGAGCAAGGATTCGAACCTTGGTCTCCAGTGTTGTAGTCCAACACTCAGACCACTACACCATGCTGGCTCTCATGCATTACTATAGCTGTTTATTTTTTGTAAACTCATGTATGTGTGCATGCATTGTTGTCAAATATGAACATTATATGTGTGCATGCATTGTTTTCAAATGTGAAGCAGCCACAAAAATAACATAAAATAAAATTTACACTGTTCTTTTCATACAAATTAAAATCGATGTGGCGCTGAATTAAAATACCATGCTCTCAAGGTTGGGGCCCACTGTGTTAAATTTCTGCCTGGAGTAAACTTCAACACTGTTGTTACAATTTGCCAGAAACAGAGGTTTCTCATAAGGGCTGTTGACAGTTCCCAAGTTGCTGCACAATAGGAATGCTTTCTATTCCCACTAGGTCTCCTAATTTGATCCTTTCCTTGATGAAGGCAAAACAATAGCAATGGAAAGTAACTGGTGTGAGATATTAAAGTTTCTCTGAGATACCTCTTCTCCGCCTGCTCTTCCACTGCTTAGAGCCATAAATCTTCCAGTCCTGGGAGCCGACTACCAAGGAACTTATTACTTTTATTGGCCCAGCTGCTAGAAGTTAGGGCTGTATTAACAATCCAACAATCCATCAGAAATAACAGTGATACCAATCCCAGAGAACCCAAAGGACAGCACATAAGTGCTCAAGTGCTGTGGTTGTAAACACAATTCAGTAAGGTACTGACTGGTACCAAGCTGCTATGGGCAAGAGGCATGTAGATGCCCACATCCAGTGGGCAGTTCTTAGCTTTGACCACATAAAAGCTCAGTGGAGTTGAAAAGGCGGTATTGCCTCTAGTTCATCTACCCTGAGATTCTGAAAAGAAGGGAAGTCTAGGCTCAGCTCTCATTTTATGGCAGTATCACTGTTATTGTGATGCCCTCCATAGGTCAAGTTGTGGTTCAACAGTGGGTCTGACTGAGATTCCACCTAAAAATTAAGAAGAAATTCCTGATGGTCAGAGCTGTTCAAATGGACAAAGTATGGCCAATGGACTACACTACAGGGCCTTCTAGGGTTGATCCCTGCCCCAAATCCTCTCCCAAATGTCATTAGGGGAACAGTTTTGCCATGGTTTTGTCTCCCAGGCCATTTTAGTCCCAGGAGAGGCCCTTCTGAAAACACAGAGTGAAGCAGATGTGACTTTCAGGGTATTGTTGTTGCTGTGCCTTCAAGTCTTTTCCAATTTATGGCAACCCAAGGTGACACTATCAGGGGTTTTTCTTGCCATACTCTCCAGAGGGAGTATGCCATTGTCATCCTCTGAGGCTAAGAGAATGTGACTTCCACAAGATCACCTCGCAGGTTTACATGACTGAGCTGAGATTCGAACCCTGGTCCCCAGAGCCATAGTCCAACGGTCAAACCACTACAATATGCTAGCTTCCTATTATTTTTCAAAAAGAGGCATCTCCTAGGCACAAAATGGACCAAGTGCCAATAAAGTGGCAAAAAGCTCCCTATACTCTCTAGATGGGGTTTATTTGGGGACAAAACTTGACTTTTTTGTGGAGTTTGGAGTGGAGAAGAGCAAGTTCTCTGGGAAAGGCAGTTCAGCCCCACTAGTTGCCTCCTCTAAACTAATGAACTGAGATTATTGGTCTCTTCCATTCCAGAGTCTTCTAACAGAATGAGAATGGTTTACGTATGTGTATGTATATGTGTCTGGCACTGGATGCTTATTCTGCATTATCTCACCTGTTGCAGAAACTCCACATCATCTGAAGTTGCAACATACAAACCTCAAACAAGACTGCGCCAGCTAACGCCGACTTCCTTTCGTTCTATGCAAATCGACTCCACAACCACTTATTTGTGTTGTCTTTTATGTATCGCATCTCTTGAAACTCAGCGGTTTTATTTATTTTTTATGCTTAGGCTCAATGCCATGCAATTTCAAATCTGCATACATTTAAATTAATTAACATACACAATTAAGCCATGGCATTTTCTTCCTCTGAGCTGGCAACAAATAATTACAAACTCTCCAGTTGTTTCCAGCTGTGTTTATGCAGAGGCAGCTTCAAATGAAAAACCCCATGAACCCTACAGGTCCAAGGATTACATCGGGTGATTCACGTCCCCTCTGCCAGTCCCCAATTCTTTTCTTCGCTCTGCACAGAAGAACAGACTTTTTTTGAGTCCATGCCTCCGCCTCAGATTTCTGTAATGATTCCCTGGTTGGATTTTTTTTTTTTTTAAAAAAAAAGAACTGTCTTTTTGCTGTTCTTCTCTTTTCACAGAAGAGGCAGACACTGAATCTGTTTGCTGGGTGTTTGGCTTTGTATTGTGACTAAATTGCACTCATGGCTACCTGCAGAGTTCATAATTACAGATGAGACTCCAAGCTTATTTGCAACATTTCTCTGTAAGCTGTGAGATCACCCATGCTTTGCTTCTTGGAAGGTATTACGATTTGGCAAGGATATTTAGTTGCCCACATCTGCTTTTGTTAGAATTCAGGAAACTCTAGTGCAATGTTTCTCAATCTATCAGATGCGGTAGACTGGAAATTTCTATCCCCCCATGTGCCAAGGACTGGCATTACATTTGTGCCACATTACTACTGTATTTGAATATTTTCTTGGAAATTCATCACAGCCTGGTAGCCAATGGTTTGTGGACTACCACTAGCCCATAATCCAGCAGTTTCAGTAGCACCATTCTAGTGAGCCTGGTCTATCGTAACCAGGTTAGTTTACTGTCAAGGGACCCAACTCTGTTTGAAAGAGCACAGAGAACTGAACTGGACACAATAAGACTCACTGTAAAAACTCTGACCTAAGTTCCTTCACTTTGAATATGTATGTGAGTATGTGCCTTCAAGTTGCCTGTTTACTGATGGCAACCCCATGAATTTTTCATAGGGTTTTCATAGGCAAAGAATACGCAGAGGTGGATTTGCCAGCTCCTTCCTCTGAAATGTAGCCCACAGCACCTGGTATTATTTGGCAGTCTTCCATCCAAGTACCAACCAGGGCTAACCCTGCTTAGCTTCCAGGATCAGATGAGATCTGGTGCTTTTAGGGTGTTTAGGCTTCACATTCAAGATGGACACCTCTAATTCCTGGAATTAAACATATATATGGAACCCAGGTAAGAATGTCAGTTAGCTTTAAGCAACCTGGTCCCAAAAGGAAGAGCTAGTTGTTCTTTTTATTTCGTTTTTTAAAACAGTGTCTTGTTGCCAAAGCCTTTAGAAGGAAGCATTTCTGTATGTGGCTCGTGTTAGACATGGTTAATTTATCCTGTTGATTTCAATGAGACTAAAGTTGTATCATATGGCATATAGTGCCAAATGATACAACACTCTCAACATCTCCTAGACCTAGAGCCATGGTTTCCCAAATGAATGGTGATGGGTTTTCTGAGCTCAGTGATGCTGCAACCAGGGAACAAGATTTGTTGATTTGTGCAGCTTTACACAAGTGCAAGTTGCTGAGAGGCTCCTGGAAGATCATATTAATTCCAGAAATAATCTGTCAAGCCTGCCTGGCTGATTACCCCTTATACTCCTCTGCTTACAAACAATGATTACTACCTAACCTCAGCACTCTTGGAAAAGCTATCAAGAGCGTCCTTCATCTACTACAATTATGTTCCATATCCCTTGGAGTTAGGGTTCTTATTCACTCGGAGCACTATCTGTGGACTCATCGCCTCATCTACAATAGAGATGGAAATTACTACAAGGAAAAGAAGCTGCATCAGCCTCAAATTCTGGCTCCAAAGCCAGGTAAAAGAAGCCAAGCCATCTTGTAATAACCAGAAGGCCAAAAACAGAGTGAAACAGAGCCAAAGCGAAACTTTTTACAACTTATACTTCCAATTTTCTGTTAGGTTTGTTCTGATAGTAGTGGTTAACCAGCCTACCCCAGCCTGTGACTCCTACAAATGTGTTGGGATTACAACTTCATTCTGCCCATCACTGCTGGTTGGAAATGTTGGGAGTTGTAGTCCAACATATCAAGAGTCACTCAGGTCAATGAAGCCAGGTCTTCATCCGCTCAGCTATGCTCACCTTCTGCTATTCATAAAGCAAGAATCTAGCAAGTGAGGCTCTGGAAGTCTACGTTTATGTAAGTCCTGAGATACTTACAGATCTGAATAGTTTTCAGAAGCCTTGGGAGCTGTTGGTTGGAATGGGTTTCAGGGCTTGGGATTAAGCATGTCTGTGACATTCTTTAGCAAGTATTATCAATATTTAAACACAATCCTGACAAGACAGAAGTGCTTCTGGTCAGTAGAACTGCTGATTGGGGAAAAGACATTTGGGAAAGAACTGCATTCCCACTGGATTCAAGTCTGAACTGTAGGAGCATTATTTGATTCAAACCAACAGGTAAAGCCATCTATAGGAAATTATCCAAAAAGTTCTGACTTGTGCACTTTTTCAAAAATGGAAAGGAAAAATACAAATATCTCTGAGTATATATATCCTTTCCCTTCATATCCAGTGAACCCCCCCCCCAAAAAAAAGATATCAAAGTTCTGAGAAAGAGAGGTGGAGAGATACCAGATGTCCCAAACAAGGCTGTAATTGTGCTTCAACTATCACATTTGTGTGTGTGTGTGTGTGTGTGTGTTGCCTTCGTTGCCTGTCAACTTATTACAACCCCATGAATTCCATAAGGTTTTCTTAGGCAAGGGACAGCCATAGGTGCTTTTGCCAGTTCTTTCCTCAGAAATATAGCCTACAGCACCTTGTATACATTGGTTGTCTCCCACCCAAGTGCTAACAAGAGCTGACCCTGCTTAGCTTCCAAGATCACACAGATCTGCTGCCTTCAGGATAATAAAAAGGTTGGTTCGTCTTGTGGAAAATGGTCTAGGGAATTCACATCCAAATCATGAGAGTTAAGAACATCACTTGATTTAATGTGGGGAAATTTTGTGTTGGAGTGAAGTGCTCAGTTCCAAGCAACAAATAATTCAAGGAGGATGCATGTGGACAGGTTTCAAATGAGTCAAGAGACCTACAAAGGTGATAAAGGGTTTAGAAGAGACATCACTTGTGCGA